GGACCTGGGTTCCATTCCCAGCATCCATATGACAGCTAACAACTGTCCCTAATTCCAGTTCTAGGGACTCCAACACCCTCTTCTGACCTCCACAGGCATTGCACTACATAGGTGTACTTACATACATACAGACGATACACTCATACACACACACACACACACACACAGAATCTAATGGGGAGCTAAGGATGTAGCTCAGCTGCCACAGTACAGCATATGCTTGTAGTCCTGGCACTTGAGAAGTGTGGGCAGAAGGATTGGGAGTTCAAATCCAGGCTGACTACATGAGGCCTCTGTCTAAAGGAGGAGGAAGAGGTGGAGGGGGAGGAGGAGGAGACAGAAGAATAAGAATCTATTGGGAAATGAATTCCAATCCTTCTGAGAAGCCTGGTCCAGGTACTTGGGAGGCTGAGGTAAGAGGATCATAAGTTTAAAGCGAGTCTGGGAAATTTAGGATACAGTTGGGGATTTAGCTCAGTGGTGAGTGCCTGCATATAGGTTCAACTCCCATTCCTGGAAGGAGCCTCAGGATTCCCTGGCTCACAGCTACCCCGAGGCATTTTACAGCAGATGAAAGATACCAAAGAGGAACCAGGAACCCCCTCACTAGCTCTGAGCTTTTGGAGATTCTGTTTAGGAGAAGCAGTTTTCTGCGGCTGGGAATGTTGCTCAGTGGTGCTAAAGCATTTGGCCCTAGGTTTTATTCCCAGCATTAAAAATAAAAGGAAAAAGTTTGGAATTTTTCTGCTCTTATGTCACAATCATCACAAAAGATTACTGTGGTCTCAAAAATCGTAGGGAATTCTATTACCAAGCCAACAATCAATTCTGCAGTAGCTGGATGTTTTCTGAGTCGTCATGGTAGTTCTGCTCCTAGATACCTGGAGACAGCATCCAAGCCCAGTGTGAGGACCCTGTCCCTAAGACCACTGTCCCCCTATTTAGATGTCAGTTAAAGCCCCAGGTTATTCAGTTGACCTGCTGGGACATCTTCATGGGGTTCTATTAATTTATTTGAATGGCTCATAGAACTCAGTAAAACACTTATGTTTGCTGTTTTATTACAAAAGCTACAGATAAAGCAATGTACCAGGTGAGGAAGGAGCAAGATACTTCTGCCAGGCTGTCCTAAAGTCACCTTTGTGTGTTGGGCTCCCTGAACACTGACCTTTTTTTTTTTTTTTAAAGCAGTTTATTTTTGTTTTTATTTTATTACATGCATGCATGTAAGTGCACCCATGTTATGCAATGCCCACAGAGGTCAGAAGAGGGTATCAAATTCCCCTGGAACTGGAGTTACAGATAGTTGTTAGTTGCTATGTGAGTGCTGGGATTTGAACCCAGGTCCTCTGAAAGAGCAGTCAGTGCTCTTAACACAGAGCCATCTCTTCAGCCCCCCACTTTTGGGTTTTTATAGACATATTACTGTATGCCAAATGCTAAACTGGGTGAGGAAACCCAGCAAGGCCTGTCTGTTTAGATTCTTCTTGCCTTCTCTGTGCAACATTCCTTCCTCCAGGGTATGGGGCAAGATCCCTTAGGAAGTGGGGGTATCATGATCTATCAGACAAGGTAGGTCAGACAATTTCTGTACAGCCAGGACATGTAGTATATTCCTCTGCTTCCCTGACAGAGTGCTCGTATTGCAGGGGCAATCTTAAATGTCCTCTGGTTTATTTTATTTATTTTTGAGATAGAGTCTCAATATGTAGCCCTGACTGGCCTAGAACTCACTAGTTGACCAGGTTGTAGACCAACTTGACTTTAGACTCAGAACAGTCTGCCTGCCTCTGCTTCCTGTGTGCTGGGATTAAAGGCATATACCACCATGCGCAACTTAACTCTTTCAAATCCTGGGATATAATTACATTCTGTGAAACTAACAGAAATTCTATGCATAAGGAAAACTAACAAAGTTTTTTTTCTGAGACAGAGTCTCAAGACCACCATCCCAAATACTCCTGTCCTCTCTCTCCCTGTGAGACTAAAGTAAGACCCTACTTGCTTCATCAGAGGGAAGAGGTAAGCACAGTGGTTACTTACTCTGTGATCACTTACTCTGTGATCTTATTCAGGTTATATAATCTCTCTGTGCCTGTTTTTTTTTTTAAATGATTTATTTTTATTTGTACAAGTGTTTTGATTGCCTATATGTACACTAGTATGTTTGTCGTATCCTCAAAGGCCAGAAGAGCCATTATGTCGGTGCTGGGAATCAAACCCAGGTCCTCTGGAAGAACAGCAGGTGCTTTTTACCCCTGAGCCACTTCTCCAGCCACACGGTTTATTTGTTTTATGTTTTATTGTTTTTTGGGGAGGGATATCTTTTTAAAAAATATTTTATTATTTTTATTTGTACAAGTGTACTGCCTGCATGTATGTGAGTGCACCCGTGTCATGCAATGCCGCGGAGGTCAGAAGAGGACTTCGGATTCCCCTGGAACTGGAGTTAAGGACGGTTCATAGCCACCATGTTGGTGCTGGGAATCGAACCCGGGTCCTCTGCAAGAACAGTCAGTGCTCTTAACCGCTGAGCCATCTCTCCAGCCCCGGGGGGGGGGGTCTTATTGAGACAGGGTCTCCCTGTCTCCCCAGCTGTTCTGGAACTCACTATGTAGACCAGGTTGGCCTTGAACTCACAGAAATCTGCCCGCCTCTGCTGGGACTAAAGGAATGTGCCACCATGCCCAGCAGTTTATTTGTTTTTTTTAAATCTATAAAATAGAGGAAATAGTATACCTGACTCATGGGGTTGTTTTGAAGACTGAATGTGTTAAGATTTCTAGTACATCAAGCATGTAGTAGACATAGTATTTTGGAATCTTTCAAGGGTTGGAGAGATGGTTCAGTGGTTAAGAGCATTGACTGCTCTTACAGAGGACCTGGATTCAGTTCCCAGCACCTACATGGCAGCTAACAACTATCTGTAACTCCAGTTCCAAGGGATCTAATGCCCTCTTCTGACCTCTGTGGACATTGCATTACATGGATGCACTTATATACATGCAGGCAATACACTCATACACATAAAATAAATTTTAAAAAGAATCTTTCAAATCCTAGGATACCATTACATTCTATGAAACTAACAGAAATTCTATGCGTAAGAAAAAACCAAGGAAAGCAGACCTAACAGGTTTTGATGACCTTATGACCCTAGCAACAAAAGACAGCAAGCACAGGCAGAGACAGCGCACTGCATTCAAACCAGACCACTGCAGGAAACAATGGCTGGAAAGCCAGCTTCCTATCCTGTCTCAGCAGGACAGTACCATGTGTGACTTCAAGCTCTCTGGGCCAGATTCATAGGTAAGATGAGGCTGTAACAGAAGTCACCGGGCTCCCTCAGACTTCTTTTCCTAGTAGCTCTGCCCCACACTCATTGGCTTCTGGTAAGCCAAGTCCTCCCTGCTTTTTAGGCCTCAATTTTCCCACCCTTAAAAAGATGGAATTTGGTGGGTGGTGGGGGGGGGAAGGGGGGAAGAGAAGGAAGATAGATAGAGAGATGGCTCAGTGGTTAAGATCGCTGGCTGCTCTTGCAGAGGCTGGGGGTTCTGTTCACAATACCCACATAGAGGCTACCTGCTCTTCTGACCTCCGCAGGCACTACACACACGGTGCACTTACATACATGCAGGCAAAACACTTATACACATAAAAGCAAATAAATAATTTTTATAAGATTATCTTAAACTAAGGGTGTGGTGGCACACACCTGTAATCCCAGCACTTGGATGCAGGAGGATAGAGTTTAAGAGCAGCCTGAGCTACACAGTGATTTCCAGGACAGCGTGGTGATCAGGCTTCAATGGGGCTGGAGAAATGGCTCAGCGGTTAAGAGCAGTGACTGCTCTTCCAGAGGACCTGGGTTGGATTCCCAGCACCCACATGGCGTCGACGAACCGTCCTTAACTCCAGTTCCAAGGGAATCCAAAGCCCTCTTCTGACCTCCGAGACATTGCACGACACAGGTGCACTCACATACATGCAGGCAATACACTCATACACACAAAATATAAAAACAAAACAAAATCCTGAAACCCTAGTCCCTCTCTCCAAAGAGTAAGGAATTGAATTTGTTTCCCCTAAATGAGACCCGACTTTCTTGCTTCCTATTTAAGAAGGAAGAGAAAGAAGAGTCAACACTTTGGGGTCACCTACACTTAGGGCTTGAGAGTCCGGTCATCCAAGGTCGAGCAGCCAGAAGTGAGGCAGCCAACTCAAATTCATCTAGGTCTGGTTCCAAACCCACTCAACCAAACTACTTTCTTCCTTAAGGATTTTGTGGATAAGTTCTCAATGAGCTTTGTAGAGCCATGTCTTTTGAAATGCAATTTTAAAGAGATAAAGGATTTCCCCCTAGATATGGGGGTGGGGTGGGGGTGGGAACTGAGCGGGTGGGTGAAGCCTCTGACTGATGTTTACCGAGATCCCGGGGAATCCTGATGCGCTTTCCATGTCCTGAACGAACCATCCACCCTGGGCTCTCCCCATGAACCCCAAGCCGGGCTGCTGGATCCACACTTCTCCTCCACTGCACCCCTAGCCCAGCTCCACAATCCCTCCCTGGAGGGAAACGACCCGCGTGGAAAGCAGGCAACGCAACACGCCGCAAAGCTTGGCGTCCCCTCCGGACCCTGCGCAGGACTCTACGCTGGGAACTAGGCGGCTCTCTCCGGCTCATCCAAGGCTCTTAAACCTGGTCCCTTCCAAGGTCCACCCCACAGCCAGCTCCTTCTCTTCCCTGGGAGTCTTCCGAGGTTGACCCGGTTCTTATGGCCTCACGACTATGAAGGGGACCGGGTGACACCAGACCCACGACTCCAGGAGGCACGGTTGCGAGTCAGGGGTACCTAGCCACTGGGAGCACCTGGAGACCCCACAGGAAGTGTGAATCTGGAAACTAGGCAGGGCTACCAGGAAAGAAGTGCGATCAAGACGCGATGTTGGGGTGCAGGGTTCCCCCTTCTGCCCTCGCCCCCGCCCCCGCCCCGCTGTACCTGTGCAGCGGCTGGCGCTGCCCGCCCGGGGCGCACACAGAGCGGCTCCGCGGAGGCCGACCCGGCTGTGAGCCGAGCGGAGCACGGAAGGAGCGGGATGACTCCCCGCTGGGCTGCGCTCCCGCGCCGCCCCCCGCCGCCACGGTGGGGCCACGCCTCGGGGGAGGGACGGCCGGCCGAGGGCGGGGAGAGGACAGACACAGGTGGGCTCCGGGGACCACAGCGACCCGCCGAGGATGGACGTCCCAGCACGTTCCCAGAGCCACCGCTCGTCCCACTAAAGGACTGAAAAGTCTGTCCCCAGAGAGGCTCCTCGGAGGACAAAAGGCCCTTGTTGAGGAAATGGGATCTTCATCTTGCCCCCTCCTCTCTGCCCGTGGCATCCTCACAGTTATCCAAACCCCTTCCCAAGTCCCCAGCCAAGACCCAGATACCCTGATGCCAGGGGCACCCGCGCTGCCCCAGGAGCAGTAGGGAGGGGAGGAGCCCAGCGGGCAGATGGCTTTTACGAGTCCCCATCTTCTCCTCCCCTCCCCGTCCCGGACTCTGAGGCGCAGGCTTGATAACAAGTCCTGATAAACACCGCCACGTTTCAACAAATAAAGATTTCCCTTTACAAACAGGGCAGAACCTGAGCATATGCAAAAGATGTGGCTGTGCAAAAGCCTTGTAAAATCTGTGGTGGGGTCCAAGTGCCTGCTGCTCGGAGTGTATGTTAGTGCAGCCTTTCCAGGGTGCGGTTTGGCAAGAGGCGTTAGCCAAGGCCATAAGCTTTCTGAACTAGTGATTCCTTTCTAGGGATCTATTTTAAGGAAATAAACCAGTAACAAGGATCTATGCATCACTTTCAAAGAAGTGGTATTTTACCACAAGGGGAAAAAAACAACATTGCAAAGTACACAAAAAGATGTGTAGAATGCCAGCCATTAGCTTCTGGGCAAAAAATTTAGATGGCTGTTATTTTCTTTAAAAACTTAAGGCCAGGTGTGGTGGGCCAGGCCTGTAATTCCAGCACTTGAGACTGAGGCAGGATCATCTGCAGTTTGAGGTCAACATGGATCACATAGCAAGGGTCTGTCTCGATAAGTAAACAAATAAACGTTTGCATAATTTATACATTTTCTCCAGTTAGACATTTAGAATTTACCTGGTCAAAAACATACAGAACTTAGTTGAAAAGGCATGAATATGAGGATGAAGGAGAAAGGAAAGGGGATATTAAAGAGAGAGGGAGGGAGGGAAGGAGGGAGAGGAAAAAAGAGAGCACTTTTTTTTTTGGTCTTTTTAGACAGGGTCTCCTTGTAGCCCCAGCTGGCCTGGAACTCACTATGTAGACTACAAAGATCCACCTGCCTCTGCCTCCCAAATGCTGGGATTAAAAGCGTGCGCCACTACACCTGGTCAGAGACCACTTTTATAACCTTACATGATAGAAACTAGGTACAGCATTAGGGCCTCCCATATTCGTACAGGAATTAACCATATGAACTAATCAGGAATCTTCTCCTGCCCTTCCCACACCCCCACTGAGTAATTTATTACCTCAGCCTCTGACTAGCTCTGGGTTGCAGCTCAGCTGAACTCTTGTATGTTTCCCAGTTTTTCCTCTAGCAACTCCGCCGTGTGATTTAGGTCCACAGGCTACCAACATCTGACTGAAAATAGCCTGATATTCACCAAACAGTTGTAATTTTCCAGCCCCTGTCTTTCATCTGTTATGTGGACTCCACTGAAAATTCTCCTCTACTTGGGGTTGGACTAGGGGATTTTTGCCACAGACCTAGACCTAACAAAAGCTCCGCAGTCTTTAGGCAGAGCACTGGCCATAAAGCTGCTGCTGAGTAACTCCCAAGCCTGGGCTACCTTTGCCCTATTCTTCCCCCCACCCAAGGTCCCTTCCTTCAAAAAGCTACAGGAAACTTTCCTGTCTGAACATTTTAATTAGAAAGTTATAAAACGTCATGGGTCCTCTGCATAAATTTTGCACAAAATAATTTAATAGAATCCAAAGCAGTATCTTTGGTCATCTTTCCACTTCTCATTACCTTTTTTACTTCGAGCAGGATCTCAGGAACACAAGGCTGGCCTTGGACTCCAGGACGGCCTTGAATTTTGCATCCTCCCGCCTCCACCTCCTGAGAGCTGGGATTATAGGCATGTGCCACCACGCAGGTTTATGCAGTGCTGGGGACTAAGTCCAGAGTGCTAGGTAAGCACTCTACCAACTGAACCACATTCCCAGTCTTCTCATAACTGTTTTGAAATCTGAACTAGAAACAATTTTTCATTTAAATCTCCAGAAAAACCACTAAGGTATGTAAACAACTGTAAATATTAAGTCACAGGAATGGGTATTAGGGAAATTTTGTGATTGAATCCTTGAAATTAGCTTTGCTGCCCGCTCTTATTTTGCTCAATCTGATGGAAACATGCTCTGGAAATCAGACACACGCTGAGGAGTGTTTGTGGGTTGACATGAGCATAGGCCACAAGGAGAGTTATGTCCTTCCAGTGCTAATGACATGGAGAGGGTCATACGGCAGACCTTTGAGACTGCACAACTGCTCTGATGAGAAGGAGGCCAAGTAAACAGTTTTCTGTGCACAGTAGTGGCTCAGCCTGGCCATGGCTTCTGTAGACACTTGCTGAGCCTACAGGGCTTTATGGCTGGACTGCCTGTCATTCTGGTAATGGCCAGGCTGGATTGGATGCTTTGTTTAGCAACTTCTTCATTCTCTGCTCCTTGTGTCTTCCCCAGAGCCACTCCTATGCTGGGCACCCTGTTCCTTAGTCAAGGGAAATGCAAGTAACTGGGTTTCCAGCTAGCCCTCCAAATAAACCCTGTGGTTGTCAGGCAGTGGGAGCCAATACCAACAACAACCCTTCTGTCATCCACATCCTTTCAGAAAGGGGGAGGGCAGTCAAGGAGGAGAAGTGGCAAGTGTCCAGGCTGTTGGGTGAGGGCCAGAGAGAAAGAGCCTGTTGTTAGAAGCTCGGCACCCCCACTGCTGCTGAGGGGACTGAATGAAACAGCACTTCTGACTTTAGCCTGCCATCCCCAGGGCACAGAGAGAGGGCAAGAGGCAGGGCATGGCGCCAACACTGTAAGGTAGGGACAGAGGGCTGTTGAGCTGAGCTGATGACAGACCCGTCTGTTAGATTGAGGGCAGGTGCCTGGTCCTCCTGCCCTTAAGTCACCCACCCTCACACACTTGTACTTAGGCCCCACCCCCCTCAGTTCTCCAGTTAAAGGCCTCAGTTATGGAAATCAAACCTCTGAACGGGAATTGTAGATACCCAGGAGTAGAAAGTACTAGGGATTTGCATATTTCTCATGGGAGCCCTCAGAAGGATAAAGAGTGGCTTACAATAGGGGAAGGGTACACAGTGTTTCCTAGTTCAAAAGAGGAAAAGTCCTTGCTTGACTAGAGATGGGACTCTTTCCAGGGTTTCTGAACTGACTGTAATTTTCTCCTGAAATTCAAGACCAAAGCCAAAACAAAAACAATCAAATTATAGCCTCTAGGACCCCTGTGACCTTCCCACAACTAGTGCCTGAAGATTTCCTGGGTGCTTAGAAGATACAGGACTTGAGGAGCTCAAAGTTGGAAAGAAGTGTTCTTTGTCTCTGAGGGGAAGACACACAAGCCGTGAATGTCCGGTGGGCTCTTTTCAGGAATGTTGTAAGATGGCAGGTCTCAGAAGACAACAATGAAGTAGCCACGGTCCCCCGAAGTCTCCAGGAATGGTGTCAGGATAAGTGCTCCTTACTCACTTCTCCCCGGGGCACAGACACAGGGATGGTGGTCACTACCTGATTCTGAAACACGAATATTTTGATTCTTTCAAATACCCATAGGAAGATGAGCAGGATGCTGACGTACTGTATCCAGGCAAACTTTATCATCTCCCAGAAGCCTGGTTGATAGGTACAGACAGTTAAGGAGGCACAGTCCACATGTCAAAAACAGTTACCCCAAGGTTTGGGTCATAGGGGAAATGGCAAGAATACTTCAAATACTCTTCAGATAAAAGGGATAACCAGATATGATTAAGACACAAATATGGACCTAGAAGAATTGCTTTGAAAGGGATAGGAAATGAAACATTTTTTTCTGTAGGAACAGCAGACACGGTCATTTGTGTGGGGCTGCAGGGTTGGGGTAATTTCCTAGCTCATGAGTTCCACATCTGTTCCAACTTGGAACAGCTGAAGAACCCTCCTCTTTGTGGAAACTGAGCCATGCTGGCTGGCTGACAAAAAGGATATGAAATGACTTCCACAGGATAGCGGACGACAGCATTGATGACAAATGGTGCTTCGGCAGCCCTGCCCACCAGCCAGATAGGGTTGGGATCACTCAGGACTGTGGTAACTACAATACAAACATTGAACACTAATCCAGGGGAGCCTTTGCCAAATATATATATTAAGAGTAGTAGGGCGGGTATGGCTGCACACACCTTTAACAGCTGGGGACTATAGGGAGACCCTGTCTCAAAAAGACCCCCCCCAAAAAAAAAGAAAAAAAAAAAAGAGCTGTAACTATTTTTTTTTTAAATACTGAGATATTCTGCACTTCAGGATGAAAAGAGATTTCATATGCAGATTCCTTATATATTATTATTATTATTATTGGTCTTATTGAGACAGGGTCTCCCTGTAGCCCCAGCTGACTCTATGAAGACCAGGCTGGCCTTAACTCACAGAGATCCACCTGCCTCTGCCTCCCAAGTGCTGGGATTAAAGGCATGTGCCACCAGGCCTGGCCTAGCCTTATATATTATTTTTATAAATATTTTATTTATTTTATTTTATGTGTATGAGTGGCTTGCCTGTATGTATTTAAATGCACCTGTGTTGTGCAGTGCCTGCGGAGATCAGAAGAGGGTGTCATATCCACTGGAACTGATGTTATGGACAACTGTTAGCCATCATGTGGGTGCTGGGAACCAAACCCAGGTCCTCTGCAAGAGCAGCTGTCTCTCTAGCCCTGCTTACATATTATTTAAAATACTTGTCAAAATACTTCTGTTACAATATGTCAAAATTTGGAAACAATCTGTGCTCTACTACTGCTGGACAGTTAATGGAAGAAATATTATGTTGCTAGAAAAAAATATGAATTACAACTTTGTAGTAGTGTGGGGGAAATACTTATATTAAATTACATAGTTATATAAGTGAAAATAATCTGGATTCCAGTATTTAAGATTTATTTTATTTATGTATATATGTGTGCATGTATGTGTGTGTGTGTGTGTGTGTGTGTGTGTGTGTGTGTGTGTATGCATAGGTGTGTGAGGGTGCCCAAGGAGGCCAGAAGTGGGCATCAGATCCCCTGGAGCTGGAATTACAGGTGGTTGTGAGCTGCCGGACAAGGTGCTAGGAACTGAACTCAGGTCCTTTGCAAGAGCAGCAAGTGCTCTTAACTGCTGAGCCATCTCTCCAACCACCACCTCCCCATTTTGTTACATTTGTTTATTTATCTTGTATGTGTTGTAGGTGCATGTGCACCACAGTGTACATGTGAGATCAGATGACCTGTGAGAATTGGCTCTCTCCCTCTACCACGTGTGTCCTGGGGCTCAAATGTAGATTATCAGGCTTGGTGGAAAGTGCTCTTTTTTTGAGACAGAGTCTCCCTGTAGCCCCAGCTGACCTGGAACTCACTATGTAGACCAGGCTGGCCTTGAACTCACAGAGATCTGTCTGCCTCTGCCCTCTGCCTCCCAAGTGCGGGGATTAAAGGCATGCGCCACTTAGCTTGGCTGAAAGTGCTCTTTCTTACCCACTGAGCCATCTCAATGGCCTTTCTTCTTTTCTTCCTTTCTTTTTTTTTTTTAACAGTCTCGTGTTCCCAAGCTGGCCTCCAACTTGTATGTAGCCAAGGATAACCTTGAACTTCTGATCCACTTTTGTCCACCTTCTGAGTGCCACCATGCCTGGTTTTATGTGGTGCTGGCACTAAACCCAGGGTCTTGTGCACACTAGGCAAGAGCTCTATGGACTGAGCTAGCCTGAAGTATTTCTGTACTACAATAGTTGTATGAAACTATCTATGGACAGAGAGTGAGTGAAGTAAAGGAGGAAAAGCTGATTTTCAGACCACTGATGTCAGTTTTGGTTTTGAGAGTTGTATTACTGGAATAATGCTGCTACTGTAGTTCATAAAATTAGAAATACTGGAATTACAGCCTGAGCATCTGCTCTGTACAAAGAAATAGGATCTGTGTGCAGTCAGCACCGCGGTGCTTCTACTCTACTAGACTGCTAATGTGGGGCTCCCCACACACAGCCTCCATTGCTATCTGCAAAGGGGACAGCGAACTGTCACTGGCTGCTTTTATAGGTGAGGAATAATTCAATTAGGCACACGTACACATTTTAAAAAAGGAAACCAAACAAGCTAGAGGTGGGATAAGTAAGGCGAGTGGTCACTAACTTTCTGGCACAGCAGAAGTAACAAGTGGAAAAGTGGCTCAGTGGTTAAGAGCACTATTTGGGAAAGGGTGTGGCTCTGAAGATGAGGACACAGAGGATTAGACCAGCAAGCCCTATACCTCCCATGACTGGGCCTCCACTGGTTTTGTGATTTTTAATCATGACAAGTGTTCCAAATCTGTTTGTTTTCATGGACTCCATAGCCTGGGAAGCCTGTGAGCAGTGGGCCAGGGTCTCACCATTTCTTTCCTGGTAGGCAGCAACAATTCGAGTGAGGTCATAGTCATGAGCAAAAGGACTGGTCCCATTAATCACAGACACCTGGGGAAGGGAGGAAGACAAAGCGTCATCACTCGGCTCTCCTTCTCTCACCCCTCCTGCCCACCCAGGCTGATCCTGCAGACTACACCAAACCCAGAGACTGCCTTCTTGTCCCTGTGACCTATTTCTGTTTCAGTAATCTTTAAGGCTTGATTTTTTAAAATTTATTTTTAATTTATATTTTTATGTATATGAGTGTTTTGCCTGCATGTATGTAAGTACACCTGTGTCATGCAGTGCCCAAGGAGGCCAGAGACAGTGTCAGATCCCCTGGAACTGGAGTTATAGACAGTTGTTAGTCACCATGTGGGTGCTGGGAATCAAACCCAGGTCCTCTGGCCCTCCAGCCCCAGGTTTTTTTTATTTTATTTTATTTTATTTTTTGGTCTTTTTGAGACAGGGTTTCCCTGTAGCCCCAGCTGGCCTAGAACTCACAGAGATCCACCTGCCTCTGCCTCCCAAGTGCTGGGATTAAAGGCTTGTGCCACCATGCCTGGCTAGCCCCAGATTTATTTGTTTTTATTTTATATGTATGTGTGTTCTGCCTGCATGTATATAAGGGTACCCATGTTGTACAATGCCCATGAATCCAGAAGAGGGTGTTGGATCCCCTGGAACTGGAGGTACAGACAGCTGTTAGCCACCATATGGGTGCTGGGAGCTGAACCTGGGTCCTCTTCAAGAGCAGCAAGTGCTCTTAACCACTGAGCAATCTCTCCAGTCCCCAAATTTATTTTTATTTATGTGTGTGTGTGTGTGTGCTAATCTGTATGTACGACCACAAGTGTGCAGATGCCCATGGAGGCCAGAAGAAGGTGTTGGATTTCCTGGAACTGGAGTTAGAGGAGGTTGTGAGCTACATGTGAGTCCTGGGAATCCAATTCTGGTCTTCTGGAAGAACAGTAACCACTCTTAACTGCTGAGCCATCTCACTAACCCCCTTTTATTTTAAATATTTTTAAATTTTTATATTTTTATATTGAGTGTTTTGCCTGCATGAATGTATGTGAGCGAGAAGAGGGCATCAGATCCCCTGAAACTGGAGTTACAGGTGGTTGTGAGATGCCACGTGGGTGCTGGGAACCAAGCCCAGGTCCTCTGCAAGAGCAGCCAGTGCTCTTAGCTGCTGAACCATCTCTCTAGCCCCATTTTTATTATTCTTAATTGTGTGTGTCTGTGTCTGTGTGTGGGTAAGTGTATGTGTATACAGTGCCATGGAGACCAGAGGTGTCCAATTCCCTTGGAACTCGAGTTACAGTTGATAAAGGCAGTTATGAGCTGCCATGTGGGTGTTGGGAACCAAACTCAGATCCTCTGCAAGAACAGTGCAAGCTCTTAACTGTTGAGCCATCTCCCCAGCTCTGTTTAGTAATCTTGTCTTCAAGGATGAATAAACTCTCTTTGAACTCTCTTGCAACAATTTAAGTCTATTCACTCTCAGTTTTTCCTTTGTGGTGATGGAGACAAGGGCCTGTGTTTCATTTTAGTTTGTTTTACATTTATATGT